GCTGATCAAATTTGTGTAATGTGTTTTTCTGAGAGTTTTGAGGCTGTGTGGTCTTGGACCTTGCTGTCACATACCCTAAAGAATTTTAACAGTTTTCAGCTTGTGGGCAGAGGCTTTAATCACTTAATGGTTTTAAACATAGTAACTGTAAATGCTAAAAATACAGAAAAGAGAAAAATAAAAAAAGGTATCAGCCAAAAGCACATGTACTTGCTTGTGCTTGCTTTTTGTTGTTTTTTTTTCCTTGAAAGATTCAGTTGGTCTCTTTTTTATTTGTCTAGGAGCATTTTCTTCCATAGAAGAGATCCCAGAAAATGTTGTACATGATCATGAGAAGAACGGCCTTCCACGCTTGTCCTCCTTCAGTGACTCTGAAATTAAAAAACGGTAAGTGGTGGCTTCCCACGGGTGTGGGAGGGGTTTGGAGTCAGTGGTGTTGTGGACAGTCAACAGTACAGTTGAAGTCTACGTAAGGAATTGAGGGCAACGGGATTTCTGCTCCACCTCTTGTATTATGGCACTATTCTGTTATCCTCACAGGTGTTCCTGTGACTGCCTCCCTGATGGCATTGAAGGAGAGCACCAGTGTAATTGGTGATACAGTTAGCTGAACCAACCAACTCACTTAGGCTTTCTCTAGTTCAGTGCGTACCTAGTTGTTACAGCTGACCTTCAGAAATAAAGGTTTCCTTGGAAGGTTCACCCTGGTGCCTGGTACTGTAAATCTTACTGCCTACACATAAGGTTGTCATTGCAAGCAGATTTACTTACTGCTGTTGAACTGGATAGGTTTAAAATGTTAGTGCTGCTTAGCTTGAGAATATTCTCCATTCAGCTGTACCACTTTATCATTCTGTTCAAGTGCTTCAGGTTCTTCTCAGAGCAGAAAACGTACTTCTCTGCAGTAGAGCCTTCTGAATTACTCTGGCTAGAATTTTGGCTGTCTGCTCTCTATCCTAGAGCCTATGACATACGTAATCCCTGTAAGAGGTGGCAGCATGGGGAGAATAGGACATAAGATAATAGTGCACACATGTAAGCTTATGCTTGCATGGTTGTGTGTATTAAGCTGTCCTAAGGAGTCAGCCCCTTACACATGTGGTGTCAGCTATGAGTAGAGCTCAGTCCCAAGTTTTGTTGCATTCAGTGGCACACACATTTATCGCAGTTGTGCCTGTGGAAGTGGGGTCACTCGATTGTGTTGATCCTGTGCAAGAGAAAATGCTGCCATTTTCTTGAGAATGTGGATCTTTCTCCCTTCCAGTGACCAGCCCTGCATAGAAATTAACTGTTTACCTGGGAGATGAGCCATAGCTAGGGTGTTTGAAGCTGAATGCCATTATGATTTGGGTTAAGTCAGCCCAGCACACAAATTGTGCTGGAGTTGCATAACATGGGTTTGGTTGGGAATTCTGAAATAAAGTATCAGAGAGTTTAGGTGTAGAGAGAGGGATGGTGTGGATCTGTTGTTGTAGTTTGCTGTTCTCAAGCTCTGTCTGGCTAGGAGTAACTCCGGAGAACCTGAAGACTGATACAAAAGCCTATTGAGGCTGGAAAGAGTCCATCCCCTTACTTCAGTAAGGATTCGGCTCTGAATGTCCTTTCTCATCTATTTATTGAAATAAACTATGTTTTCAATTTACTCCTCCTACAGATAATCTCTTGACTATAGAATATTACAGCTCAGTGGTATTGCAGTGAAATATGTAATTTTGCTGAAAACTGTGGTTTCCTGAAAATAGTGGGTTTGACCATTATTGAAGCATGACAAAACATCAAATAAAATACCAGGTTTTTAATTTTTTTTACTTAAGTAGAGATTTGTCTTAACTGCCAGTGAAAAATGCAGCCCTCTATATATTTAACTGCACCAAACTACTTTTTCTGTCTTTGTGTATTTTGCTTTTTGAGTATGGCATTAAAAATACCACATGGCATTAAAAATATCTTTGAGTTTTCAGCATCTTTACAGCATCTTTGGTCTCCTGTTCCTATGGATTGAGATAAACTAAACTCCTCCAGTTGAATAAGATATGAAAAATAGGATGAACTATTGCCACTTTGTCCTGTGTCCGAAACTGTTAGTAAAAAGTCTAGTTTCAGTGATGTCCAGTGATAAGACAAGGGGCAATGGGTGCAAACTGGAGCAGAGGAGGTTCCACATAAACATCAGAAAAAAACTTCTTTACTGTGAGAGTGACAGAGCACTGGGACAGGCTGCCCAGAGAGGTTGTAGAGTCTCCTTCACTGGAGATGATCAAAACCCACCTGGACACGTTCCTGTGTGATGTGCTCTGGGTGATCCTGCTCTGGCATGGGGGTTGGACTAGATGATCCTTTGAGGTCCTTTCCAACCCCTAAGATTCTGTGATTCTGTGTGAAAAGACAGAAAAGGTATTTCTAGTCTGATTCATTATAGTAGCAATAGGCTATGCAAGTGGTGTAAGATGCATATTGCTGTGCCTGGGGTCAGTTTATGTGCATTTTGTAAGTCTTTGTCAAACACACTTCAGACACTTTGCTTAAACACTTTTCCTGAATTATTACATTTCTAAATTTTTTTCCTTCCTCTGTTTAGACTGAATTTGTACTTCAAGTTTTTTATTGTTCGAGATCCATTTGAGAGACTTATTTCTGCATTTAAAGACAAGTTTGTGCACAACCCTCGGTTCGAACCTTGGTACCGGCATGAAATTGCTCCTGGCATCATTCGCAAATACAGGAAGAACCGCACAGAGACCAAAGGGCTGCAGTTTGAGGATTTTGTGCGCTATCTGGGGGACCCTAATCACCGCTGGCTGGATGTTCAGTTCGGGGACCACATCATTCACTGGGTAACGTACGTGGAGCTCTGCGCCCCCTGTGAAATCACCTACAGTGTGATCGGACACCACGAGACCCTGGAGGACGATGCTCCGTACATCTTGAAGGCAGCTGGCATAGACCACCTGGTGTCGTACCCCACGATTCCACCAGGCATAACAGTGTACAACAGAACAAAAGTAGAGCGGTACTTTTCGGGAATTAGCAAGAGGGACATAAGACGCCTCTACGCCCGGTTTGAAGGTGATTTTAAACTCTTTGGATATCGGGAGCCAGATTTCTTGCTTAACTGACACCTAGGATAAGCTCGGAAGTGTCTCGTCGATGAATTTAAACCTGCGTGAATACCAGCTGCAACACTGACAGAGCTGAGAATGACCATTTGTCTTCTAGCTTTTTGATGTTGCTCCGTTTTTCAGTGAAATATTTGTCATAATGAACAAGTCGGGGCTTATAGTTGTTGTTTGCTGACCATGTTTTCTGTATGTGACATTGCAATCTGTTAGGAATTAAGTGTCTGTTACCTGAAATACAGAATTCCACTCCTACCCTGTTCCCCTCAGGAAAAAAAAGGGGAAGGAGGAATAGGCTATGATCTTTCTCTCCCAGACAGAATGCCTTTTTTAAAATGCTGTGAAGTTATAAAGATGGCAATTTCACTGTAGGTTAACTGTGATATGGGTGAACTTCGTGATTCATGCTCATGAGAAGGGCATGCAGTCTCCCATGAGCTTTGAAAAGGAAAGGCCAGTACAGGACTAAAAATTGATTAAATGCTTGACAAATAAAATAATCTAGGCTGCTGTAATAACAGTAATGCTGATCTAATCCCATTTTTGTTTGTCACGAAATGAACCTAATTAGACAGAAGCTTTAGAGTTGTTAAAAAAGAGACTGGTTCCAGAGTCCAGTTGTCTTTGTGTTTTTGTCAAGTGTTCACTGTACTTGCTACTGGTCCATTGAGCCTCATAATTCTCCTTTGATTTTCAAAATATGATTTAACTCCTGGCTTTGTAAGTTATCTGAGAACACCAGATGCAAATGGAGCATAGAAGAAACATGAAACTCCTAGGGAAACTTTAAGGAAAATTAATTTAAAATAAATTATTAATTGTATTTGTGGGAGCACATATAGAAGTCACAAGATGTTCCCACAAAATTTAACTTGTTTTGTCTTCTAACAGTTAAGATAATAAAAGAAGCCACAAAAGCAGGATGTCATATAAAAGAGCTGTTACAGTTACTTCAATTAATGTTCTGCCTTTTTCTTATATCCAGCCTTGCTTAGTGTTCAGTACCTCAGAGAACAGAAAAATTCCCTATACCCCCTCTGAAAATTCATTTCCCTACTGCTGAAGGAGACAAGATGAATCCCTGATTGACAGTGATTCACTGCCATGGTGTCCTGACTCAAAAATACCCAACCACTGGGGTGAGTTGGAGACTTGCTGTACTCATTTTATGCATTAAAAAAAAACCCAAACAAAAACCAGAACCGAATGGATGCAGCCATCATATTTGCCTGTGCTTGCATTATGTGTGAGAAAGAGCAGTTTCTTGTTTGAGTTCACCAGCAATAAAATCAGCGTGCTGCCATCTTAGGCCACAGGAGAGAGAGAGTGACCACGTATCTTAAATACAGGAATTGCTCTGTCACAGTGAGCATATGAACTGTATTTTTAACATTTTAGTCCCAAAAGATTAATTTTCAGATCAGTGTAATGTTGCTGGCTAGAGATGCTAATGATGGCCAGTGCGGTGGAATCTGCTCTTAAATCCAGCCCAGTATGTTTTTGATAGCTTCCTGTATCAACACAGGGAAGCATCTTGCCCTTCAGAAAAAGGGAAGCTGTGCCAAGCTGACATGGGCTGTGACCCACAAAAAGAAAGCTGGGAGTGATTTCAGAGATATCTCAACAGACTAATTGAAATAAGGAAGAATCATTAACTTTAGCAAGAGAATACTCCATGGTGGCAAAGCTGGAAGGTGGGATTTTTTAAATTATTTGTTTTTTAAAGCAGCAATTAAAGTGCCCTAACTTGTTAGTTCTTAACCAATGATAAAAAGATGTTAACAGCTTGAGGTTTTTCTGTGGTTTTCTGAATATGGGAACTTTACAAAATGTACTGTTAAATGCATTTTGGAGCTAATGAGCCGACTGATTACCTCTCTGCCGATTTAAAATGTAACAGTGTGAATAATGTATAGTGAATTCAGGCCTTAAAGTTTAATTCTAATAAAGTAGAGTAGTTTTCCTCTGAAAGCATAAGCTACTGATCACACAGAATGCCAATGTATGTTTTTATTTTTCTTGGTAAATTACTTAATGTATCGGTTGCTTAAAAATTGCCAGGTGGAAAGTGCTACATAAATATTAAGTAATAATATTTTTTTCTAATAGCTTTCTCTGCATTGAGTTCTCTCGAGCATCCGACAGCAAACATGGACAGAGCTATGGACTCATATAGGCAGAGGTGTAAACTGCTCTCCCACTCTGCTTTTCAGGCTGGGACTGGAACATTTGTTACCATTTCTTCAGTTCAAATGCAAAGTTTCTTCTTTCAATGATAACCTCCGGAGCTATATTTTCTTACTAGAAATAAGGTTTTTTTCCTCACACGGCTGAAGTAATGGTGGTGTGGCTTTTGCATGACTTGTAGAAACTTGGATATGAAAGCCTTTGGTGAGGTACAGTAGGGTTCTTATGTCAGTCTGGTGCAGGTGGGGTGGCCAGAACATTCTGCGCCCTGCTTGTTATGATTAATTAAATGCTTGTATTTTGTTTTAGCTTAATTGTACTCTATACAAGGCTTTTACAGATGCAGTCCCAGTGGCATGCATGAGTGTCATTTGGCTGTTCAGATGTCATTTGCACATTGCTTCCAAACTGCAAGTGATATTTGTGTCATATTTGGAGAACTGCTGGCCCAGATTGTTACTTCTCTTTCCTAATTGTTAGTACTGCTTCAGAAAACAAACTCCCATCCTTACTTTGTGCGGATCTTTTTCTTTTTGTTGTCTCTTCTCAGCACCTTTTGAATCCTCTGGCTCATTTTAACCACATTTTCTAGAGGAAAGTTGAACTCTAAGGCATAGTGAGTTGCAGTAATCTTTTTGAAAATAAGAGATTCTGTGCTCCGTGTTAGCTTTAGGGAAAATACAGAGAGGAAGCTGAGTTTTACTACTTCTCATCATGGAGAGTTTCTCATAGACTCCCTTCCAGAATGCTCAGAGTCTGATCTCAGCTAGCAAAGACAAAAATAATGAATTAAAATGTATTCCATGGGTCTCTTACCTTCACATTCCATATAAAATTAAGAACACTTCTGGTGGTCAGCTGACTGGGGTTTATTGAGGTCTTGGTGGTTGGTTTTTTTTTTCTTGTGGTGAAAATAGATCTAAATTCACTTGCTTTTGAAACAACTTAAAGGACCATGCCTGTCATTTTTTTCTTTTAACTTCAGCACATAGTGCATTCTTATGGGTGTGCTTTCTGATCAAGTGCCATGAAGGTGTTTTTCTCTAGTTGAAGTAGATAGGCAATTTTTTTGTTTGGAAACTGTTCCTTAAAAGAAGTAGCAATTCTGAAGTAGCCTGAAAAATACGTATTTTTCACAAATAAGCATGTTGTTTTCCTTATATTGCTTAGATGCTGCCTTATTTGTACTGAGTGCAACGGCACCCTGCTGCTACCACTTGTCTCTGTCCTCAGATCAAGGAAGCCTTCAGACAGCTCTGGCTTTTGTGTAACATTAATTTTACCTTGAGGTGTTAATAACTTTGTTGGCTGGGAAAGCCACCTTTGATCTTACCTGTGCTCCAGCAAGTTTGCTGAGAAGAGGGTGATTATATAGGGATTGCTTAGGCTGATCTCAGATGAAAAAGGATGTCTTGTCAGTGTATCTGCCTGTATCTGAGATCCCTTAATTGACAGAGAGAGGGTGAATGATCTTTTGCTTAATGGCTTTATTGTGATTCACACTAAGCCCCCATCCTGTTATTATGGTGATGTGAAGGGACCTGGAAGGAGGTGTAAATTCAGCATGTGCTTATTTTAAATGTGAGGGTGTAAAGGAAACTTGACACAGAAGTTGGGCCCTGAAGATTTATCACTGCTGATGGCTTGTTACATGTCATCTGCAGAGGCTGGTGCTGTTTCTTTGTGGCCTGCACTTAAGAAGATTTATGCAAGGCAGAAAGAGGCTTGTGGGTGGTGGAAAATTCCCTTTCAGCCTAAGTTAGCTGTGCGTGTTCCTGGGCTGCTGCCGTGAGGAAGGTTTTTGAAGAAAATGATCCTATTAGCAGGAAAGCCTGCAGTGCTCTCAGGCTGGTGAGCGCAGGGTGCCTCCCTCCTGGAGGGAGGAGTGAGTTCACCTCACACTGATGTACACAGCTGACTTTGGTGCTGCCTTGTATACATCTCTGTTTTTATGATTTTAATGCAATTGCTTGCAGCTGAGCCATCATCTTGCTTTCCTGCCTGTGGCAGTAGCCTGAGGTGCCTCATCTCATCACCACCAGCACTGCTTTGAAAGGCCTGCAGCCTGTTTTGCTATGCAATAGGAGGCATTTCCCTTGTGAAGCAAGCAGCACTAGGCCTGCAGCCCTGCAGCTGGTGACAACAGGCTGGTGTAAGCACAGAAATGGAGCTGTTTGGCACCAGCTATTGTAAAGTGGTCATTACTCCCTTTTAATCCAGGCAGGAGTGAAAGGGAAAAAAAGATGTATGTTTGCTTTGGGTTGTAAAAAAGAACTATGCAGTTAGAAATTCCAGACTGGTAAATCCAGGCAAGGCAATTTCTGGGAGAGCAACACTGAAAAAAGCCATGGGCAGTTGCTTAGAGACCCCCAGAGGTGCTGGACTCCATGTTGAAGGAAAGCTGCTGAAGCTTTAAGGGAAGTGTTAGAGGAGCAAACGTGCTCCCGTGTATGGTTTATGTGCACGCCAGAGAAGCAGCTGCTGATGGGACAGCATGCACATGGCAGGCTGAAAGCATGAAGCATCTGCTGTGGTTATCTGTTGGAACTCACAGAAAGTGGGGGG